CACCATCATCCCTCAGCAGTTGATTGGAAAACTGAGCCTGCTGGGCCTGAACACCTCCCTCTGTAACTGGGTCCTGGATTTTCTGACTGAGAGACCTCAGTTAGTCAGGATAGGTAATAACATTTCCAGCACCACCATACTGAGCACCAGTGCCCCTCAGAGCTGTGTGCTTAGTCCGCTGCTGTTTACCCTGCTGACTCATGACTGTACTGCAAAGTACAGCTCAAACCACATCATCAAGTTTGCTGATGACACAACTGTGGTGGGTCTGATCAGCAAGAATGATGAGTCAGTGTACAAGAGGTGGTGCAGTGGCTAACAGACTGGTGCGGAACCAAAACTAAGGAGACCCAACTTAACATCACTGGCTCTGCTGTGGAAATCGTCAGGAGTTCCTCGGTGTCCACATCACATACAACCTCACCTGGTCCCTCAACACCAACTCCATAGCCAAGAGAGCCCAGCAGCGCCTCTACTTCCTGTGGAGACTGAAGAAGGCTCATCTCCCCCCTCCCATCCTCACCATGTTCTACAGAGGGACTGTGGAGAGCATCCTGAGCAGCTGCATCATCGCCTCGTTTGTTAATTGCACCGGCTCTGACCGCAAGACACTACAGCATATAGTGCGGACAGCTGAGAAGATCATTGGGGTTTCTCTCCCCTCCATGATGGACATCTACACCACACGTTGCATCTGGAAAGCCACCAGCACTGTTATCTGACTGCGTAACTCACAGATCACAACATGTTAAATATCTCTGCACCTTATTCCACTACCTCATGTCCAGAAGTGAGTGCTGTGTCGGTGCTGCACTGTCCTGTCTGTATACTGTGTCTAATGTCTGTTTAATTTGTCGTATTTATTGTATTGTTCTTGTACATAGATGGAATGACAATATAAGCCTCTTGACTCTTGACTTGAAAACCTCAAGTCAGCATACTCATCAGGAATGTCAGAAGTGGCCTCAGTATTTGGACTTTCTATCAACAGTAGACTTAACAGACTGGGAAAAATGTAATGCAGTGCTGGTGACAATATTCAGACCATGACAGCAGTTCATGATCAGGCCACGCAATGCGAGGATTGTGTTTATCTACCCCAGATAATCCTAAAATAATAGAGAATTCTGGGGAGTCAAGAACTAAAAAGGAAATAAGTTCAGACTGAAAGGCACTAGTATTAAGTCAGATTAGATTTTTTTTGTGTGATTAATCCAGTTCCTACTGGATCCCCTTTCAAGATGGCCACCCCCAAGGGGTTCTTCAGAGGTTCCACAGGAATCTTCAGTTGTTCAATGATCTGGGCATGGATGAAGTTTCCCACTGCTCTGGAGTCGATCAGGGCTAAAAAAAAAAAAACATCTGACAGCAGTAAACAGTTACTGTCCACTACTCTCCACATTAGGGGAATGTACCTGGCTCCTAACCCTCCTAAAGTCGACTACAATCTCCTTTGGTTTTTTGGGTGTTTAATGCCAGATTGTTATCATCACATCATACAGCCAGGTGCTGCACCTCATCCCTGTAGGCCATGTCATCGTCACCTCTGATCAGACCTATTACTGTAGTCCATCCGTGAACTTGATTATGGATTTAGAGCCATGACAAGGAACACAGTCATGGGTGAACAGAGAGTACAGAAGAGGGCTCAGCACACAGCCTTGTGGCATGCTGGTGTTCAGGGTGATGGAGGAGAAGAAGAGTTTGTTTAACTTAACAGACTGAGGTCTGTCAGTCAGGAAGTCCAGAATCCAATTGCAGAGAGGTGTGCTGATACCAAGCTGGCTAAGCTTTAAGATCAGCTTGGAGGGGATCACCGTGTTAAATGCTGAACTGAAGTCAATGAACAGCATTCTGACATATGTGTTTTGACAGTCCAGGTGGTTCAGTACAGTGTGGAGCACTGTGGAAATGGCATCCTTCGTTGACCTGTTGCAGCTGTAGGCAAACTGGTGTGGGTCCAGTGTAGCAGGCAGACAGGATTTCAAATGAGAAAGAACTAGTCTTATAAGCACTTGGAAATGATGAGGTGAGTGTGACAGGGCAGACGTCATTCAGGGCAGAAGCAGTTGAATGCTTTGGCACTGGCACAATGACAGCAGTCTTGAAGCTAGTTGGGACAACTGTCTGGGCCAGCGACAGATTGAAAATATCAGTGAAGACCCTGGCCAGCTGCTTAGCACAGGCTCTAAGCACAAAGCCGCATACTCCATCAGGGCCAGGTAGGATATGCTATTGTAGAAACATACCACAATCTAAGGACACACCAGAAGAGAATGCTACAACGTTGCATAGATCATGGCTAGACAGTACATTAAGTGAAATGGCTAGGCCTTAACCAGAAAATAGTAAAGAGACAAGCACATAGGAAAGTGCAAGGCATGTGTGAAGAAGTAGCTTATCAGTTTGTGGCTTATGTACAAAGGAGAACAAAAGAGGAGAACACGGCACGGCACACCTCTTCAAATTTGTGGGTTTTGTTCCAGCTACATCAATTGCTAACAGGCACATACAATAAAGCACACAGCCCTGCAGTTACCTTAGACAAACACTGGCAGTAAAATTTGTTGTGCTGAAGAGATCAGTGAATCAGTGACTTTAAAAATATCCTCCTGAAGGTAAGCTGAAGCTGAATACTAGTGGAAGAGAGAATGACACAATAACTGATCTGATTCATGAGGTGGTGTAACTGAGCAGTCGTGGGCTGGAGGCTGAGGTGGTGTACCTGAGCAGTCATGGGCTGGAGGTTAGGGAACCAGCCTTGTGACCGGAAGGCCAGCTCAATCCCCTAAGCAGACAGTACATGACTGAAGTGCCCTTGAGCAAGAGCACCTAAATCCCAAATGTTCCCCTGGCACCGGGATAGGGCTGCCCACCACTCCAGGCAAGTGTGTTCACTGCTCCCTAGTGTGTGTGTGCTCACTAGTGTGTATGTGGTGTTTCACTGCATGGATGGGTCCTGAATTTCCCTGTTGCGGGACTAATAAGGGTCACCTAATCTATTAATCTACTTATCTGAGGTTAAACATAGTAATGTTTCATAAGAAGATGTCATCTAAGCTTAATCTGGCTTTTTGTGTGTGTGCAGACTTTAGAGAGTGAGGTTGTAGGAAATGAGATGGTGGTAACCAAGGTCATGATAAAGTGATTCTTTAAATTGAGTTCACTGAGCAAGATCAAAGGGACCCTGTCCTAGGAAAATTAGATGAACTTTGATTAAGTTTCTAAGAGAACCTGGAGAATGATCAAATTTACTGTAAGTTCCAATAAAAGAAGACTGCATAAGCTGTAAAAATGTCAGCTGTGTTATGTGGTATTTTAAGGAAAATATTACTATTTTAAGAATTAAGAAATCCATAATCATATGTATAAAAGTTGATTAACAAAGTGCATTAATCCTCTCACTAAGGATAGGCCTTGCAATGTGTAAGTTAGGGGATCTTGGCATTGGAAAGTCCCTGAGATTCGGAAGCATCTAGAAGCCAGTGAATATTGCTGAAAAGGGCAAGCTGACCCTCAAAGAGTGAGGTAAGCTGATAAGGAACCAGTCAAAGTCAGTTTTGGAGCCAGTTTAATAAAGCAAGAGTTAATTAACGGCCTTGAGAGGATGGGACGATGTGGTACAGCCAAGCTTGGAAAGTTTTTAAAAAAAACTAATGTCAGGTGCGGTCGGATATAAGGGTTTCCAAATAAAGTGTAGAATTGGAAATAATGGGAATCAAAAAGATATAGGACAATGTAAGAGGGAGGGGGCAATTACTTCATCGCCCCCAAACAGGATATAAAAAAGGATGTTTCTGTGATGTATTTTGCATTTGGTTGTCCGGAAGCCATCTTGCCACCTGAAGCTCAATAAAGAAGAAGGCCTTTTCCTTCCTTCCAAAAGAACTCAACGGTTGAAGTCTTTTATCCAACTTTCTTTTATTTTTGACTGAACTTTATTTTATTTTGCATTTGACAAGAACCAGTGATTAGATTAATTGAAGAACTGAAACATAGTTATAGAACTGATTAGTGTTTAATCATCCATGTGTTGGGGCTTTGAGCGAGCAGGAATCGCACTTAGTCCCGACAGTTAACAGTTTTAATTACCTCAATGAGGAGTTCTACAGCAGAATGAATGAGCTGAGTGGGACTCCATCTCTGTGTAAAGTCAACTTAAAGTAATAGTAGAAGTGTGAATGGGATACTCCAGAGGTACATAGTCAAAGAGGTACATGGACACAGAGTAAGAAAAGTTTGATGATGAAAAAATACAGATTGTAGTAACGCTTCAAAACATGAATATGACCAGATGGAGTTGATAGGTAGGTTTTAAGGTAGTACTTTGGGTCCTCCTACTGGTTACAATCATCCTGCATGATAGGAATTGGCTGGAGACATGTACCTGACCAAGTCCAATAACAAAGATTGCTAACTGACATTCACTACAGTTGAAAAAAAAAAATCATACAAAAAGAAAAATAGCAATAAAACAAATATATATAACAGATTAAAATGCACTTAATAACAAATCTTTATACTTTGACAGCACTAATCAACTGAATGCAGTTCTCTGACTTGTCACTGTATAACATCCTCTGAAACTGCTGTCAAAAACTAAGGGGGATAGATTTACAAATTTGGTCAACAAATTACTTGATATACTATTAATGTAAAAATCCTAAAAAATAATTCATGTAACTCTGTGGAGACCTGGAGTTCACACAAATACCACAACAATAAGAGAGGCAGGCTAGATTTACCAATCAGTAAATTAGTCTGTGAACCACTAAGGAATTTGTACCTGTCCAGTAGAGAATATATAAATATAGACACACAAAGCTGTCGTCCTCACCACAGCCTGTACAGATACAGTACCTTTACTTTGCTCAGTATCTTCACTCTTATGCATGGAATTTATGATGCCTGACTGAATACATAAAAACACTGGTGTGAGCACAACCAGATTACACTGAATAACCTTAGTTAGACATTTTTGGGCAACTTCATGAACATTAATGGATTATTCTACTAATGTTACATATTTATTTTTGGAAGGGCATGTGGAGTTGGAGAAATATAGATATGTTTACTTTGTAATTACTCTCACAGTTTACATTCTGATAATTTGTTGTAATGTTGTTGTCCTTTCTATTATTTACACAAACAAATGTCTCCATGAGCCGATGTACATTTTCATTGCTGCTTTACTCTGCAATGGTCTCTTTGGAACAGCTGCCTTATATCCTAAATTACTGAGTGATTTTCTTTCTGAAAAACAAATTATCTCTCATGGAGCCTGTCTGTTTCAGGCCTTTTGGCTTTACACATGTGCTGCATCAGAGTTCACACTGTTATCAGCTATGGCCTATGACAGATATGTGTCCATATGTAAACCATTACAATATGCAACTCTTGTAAAAATGTCCACTGTGAAAAAGATCTTATTTTTCTGTTGGTTTGTGCCTTCCTGTGAAATTGGCATATCAATAATATTAACATACCGACAGCTGTGCGAATTTAAATTAAAAAGAATATACTGCAATAATTACTCAATTGCTAAATTAAGTTGTGGAGACATAACTGCTATGAGTACATATGGACTGATTCTTCTAAGCATTGTTGTATTTCCAACAGTGATCTTCATAATCTACTCATATGTTAAAATAATTGATGTGTGTTTAAAGAGTTCAAAAGATTTCAGAAGAAAAGCTCTACAGACCTGCTTCCCACACCTTCTCATTTTCATCAGTTTTGCTGTTACTGTGTGTTTTGAAGTTATTAACAGCAGACTAGAAGGAAATATGCCTCATATATTTGCTATGATAATGTCAGCTGAAAACTTTGTCGTCCCTCCTCTAATCAATCCTGTCATATATGGACTGAAACTGCAAGAGATTTGGAATAGGATTAAGAAAATGATTTGGAAGAGAAATATGCATGTCTTTGCAGATTGAAATTTGAGTGTGATTATTATTTATGGACTGAAACTGCAGGAACTTTGAATAAGATTAAGAAAATCATTTAGAAATAGAAGACATTTCATTTTTTTCAAACTGTATTGAAACCGTAAATTGTTTTCAATGTATATATTATGAAACCTTTTCTGTTTTTCAAAAACACAAAACTTCTTATTTCTCAGCAGTTATTTTTTCTGTGCCAAACAGTGAACATATTTGATTGAAGCCTGTATATTAGTTTGAAATTTCTTTTTAATAAAACATTGGATGAAAAATACTGTGCTAAATGTGTAATCACAGATTGGTCTATTCCTTAAACTCCAGTAGAACAGTTTAAAAGACATACCACAAACAGACAGCAGAAGTTTCTGAACAAAAACCCTGGAAGTATCAGAACATGTTTTGACCGTTCATCAGTACTTAACAGTACTTAAGAATTACTCATTATTAGCAAAAACTACTCTGTGAAGTCTTATTTTGTGAAGGTCCGTGGGTTATGGAGGTCTTTTTTGGTTTGGTGTAATTATAATCGGACTCTGGTACTGGCCTTTTTTATTTATCTGAAATTTAAGGTGTATTTGCACTTGGACAATTATGAACTTTGGTTTGCTTTCTACTCCACATTTATGTGGTTTTGATTCTTTGAATAAAAGTTAGGTTGAATGAAATTCTCAAATATGCCACAATCCTTAGCCCTGGAATAATCCTGTAGAATTATGTTACATAAAAACTTTAATAACACATATTAGCCTAATTAGTTTAGCGTGATTTAAAAGGTAATACTATAGTGACTCTAACATCATTGCAATGTAACAGTATTGCTTCAAATTAACTCTTTAATGATGTGGCAACAAATGTGTATTTCTGCCATTTGATCTTGTCTGATCCAACATGTCAGAAAATTCATACATTTTCATTTTGTTTTATTTAGAGTAGCACAAACATAACTGGATAAAATTTAATTTCAAACTTCAATGGCTTTTTATTTTTAGTCTAGTGAAACCAATTAAATAAAAAGCCCTTAGAGAACAAGAGAGAGTACAATGAAGAACTATTAAATTATATGATAGTGGACGGTGCAATCCTCTAGAATATTTGACCTAATTATTTTATGACTTAATGCACCTATAATCATTAAAATAATAGTGTAATGAACACTGAACATTATTGCTAAGGATTTAACTCTAATCATAAGGCAAAAAGTAGTACTGTATTTCTTCTGTTTGATCTTCTCTGTGATTTCTCAATGCTATTTTTACATTTATTTTGATTTTTAAAAACATAATAAAATTGAAAATTTATACATTATTATTTTGTCAAAAATGCTATTTGAGCAAGTGAATGTATAGCGAACTGGAAAAAATATATTTCACATTTCAGTGGCCTTTTAATTTTAATCTAATGAAACAATTTAATAATAACCCTTATTGGGTTCAAAATTGACAAATATCTAGTCATGTGAAAAAATAAGTACACTGTATTAAAAGTGTAGTCTTCAAAATATTTGCACATATAGGTAAATGTTTGCCATTTAAACAATTTTGCTAGAGAAATTGGATGTAATTTAACATGTGACACATATAGTCAGATACCTGATCTTGTTTGCTCTTTGTTATTGGGGTGTATTGTATCATCAAAGAAAGAAAGGGAAAGTTAATGTCAAAGCCCAGACCTAAAAAGAAAGAAAAAAACTCAAGCTTTGCACAGTTGGAAGAAGGAATGGCCAAAACATTTCTCCCAGTAGATGCCAGAAATTAGTAGACAGTTATAAGAAAAGCCTACAGAAAGTCTGCCAAAGAGGGCAGTACCCGTCACTGAAGCCAGGTGTGTATTTGATTTTTAAACAAGAATAGTTTAGTTAATTGTCAAACTTGTCAATGTAAAGTTTAGTAAGTTAGTTACCCAACCAGCATGTCGTAACTGAGGTTAAAGCTTTAAAAAAGAGCTTATTTACATTTCATGCATCATGGACTGAATGGATATTTATCTGAGGGAGAAGATGTCTGTCAACTGCATTGATTGAAAGTGGTTCCAGGAATGGGGGAACTGGTATATTATCATTTTAAACTATGGTGCTGATCAATAGAGCTACCAATAGCTCCATAATCAGTTATACCTATAACAATTGTAGAGTTATCACTCCAATTTAAAAGGATTTTCATTTAAAAAGAATATTTAAATTTTAAATTTTCAATTACTGCCTTGCAGGCTGGTATTCCCCTTGTTTGGTCTGCTCTTGCAACCTGCATTCAAATGAATATGCCACCGATATATGACATAGTCAAATGAGCCACTCTCAATCCCTGCTGCCTTTCTTTGATGAATTCCTGTGTAGAGGGTGTACTAAGAAACATAAATGCAAGGATCACAGGAAAAGCAGTCATGAAACATATTTCAGAGAAAAAAGCTGAAAGGCCTATGAGGCAAAGCTTTGTAAGGCATCTAGATCTAGGCTGAAAGGAATGCATTGTCAACAGCCAGGCAAAAGGCAAAGTCAAAGCCAAAACTAGAGTCTAAAGCTGCACAGATAGGATGTACTTATGCAAAAATGTAGCACAAGCTAAGCATACACAAATAAAGTATGCTAAGAAACAGCAAAGATCTTGGCTAAAAGCCATGAAGTAAAATGGCTTGGAAATAACCAGAAAATGGCAAATAGACAAGAACATGGGAGGGTACAAGATGTGTTTGAGAAAGTGGCTTATATGATATCTTATACAAAGTATGAGAACAAGCTGCAGGTGTTGAAAGGGAGACAGAGCTTTGGGGATGTGCTGCTGGGGCCGGATTAATGACAGGTCACATCTTCTAATTTGTGAATTTAGTTTAACCGGTCACACTTATTTCTAACAGGTGCATACAATTAAGCATACAGTCCTACAGTCTCACTGGCAGCAGAATCAGTCATGCTAAGGGGCTCAGTGACTTAATAATATCATGGTAACTGTTGCAGACAGAGAGGCAAGAGAAGAGCTGGAGATTAGTAAAAAAAAAATGACAAAAGAAATTATCCAATTCATAAGCTGGTGGTGTGACTGAGAATAAATGTAGTAGAGTTATTTGAGAGGCTCTGTGGTGTGTGGTGACTTTAGAGAGTGAGGGCACAGGAAGTGAGGTAGTTGTGACCAAGGTCACAGTGGAGTCATTCTGGATATTTGGAAAAAGTATACTAAGAATGGATTTAAGTTCTTTGATGATGTTGCTGAGCAGGCCTTAAAGATGATCGAAGACTCTATAAATGAAGGTCTGCTACATAACTGTGATCATTTCAGCTTTGTTGACAGTTTTGCAGACCTCAATGAGGATTTCTACAGCAGAATATATGAGCAGATGGGGATTCCGCCTCTGCTTGAATTCGAAGTGGTGCTTGATTTGGTAGAGGTAGCATGACAAGGATTCCCCAGAAGCACATGACAGAATACGTCAAATGGACAAAGAGTTAGAAAAGTTTGATTAACTTGAGGGAGTCCCACAGGAAGACTGCTTTCTTGATGGACTCCTGCAGGTAGAATCCCTAATCGGTGGATTTTAGCAGGTACACTTCCTCCATGATGTACTCTCTCAAGTAGACTCCCTCCATGATGGACTCCTGCAGGCAGACTCCCTTCTTGTCAGCCATCAAATCACTTGTGAACTATGTGAACATGGTTTGGTTTGCCCCAAAGTACTCCCTGGATGGTGGTTTCTAGTCCCCAGCACAGTGGGGCAACAATTCAAGTCTTAGGATGACAGGCTGTAGAGGTTGATCAATGGGTGGCACATTCCAGTGTCTGGAGAGTGCAGTGGGCTTGAGATTTTGTTGACCCCAGCCAATAAAACAATACAAAATCAAATCAGCTTTAAAAACAATGCCCACCTGGCTTGGTATGGATTAAGACACTTGGTCTGTTGAATATAGGCCAAGTTCTTGTGATCTGTCTAGACCAGGAATAAATGTTTCACACCCTGCAGCCAGTGTCTCCACTCCAGGGATGAGGTGGTGGAAGAAAGCTCAGGGATGGAGTTTGTGGTCAGGTCCAGAGCACTGGGACAGGACCACCCCTACAGCAATATTAGAAGTGTCAACCTCCACTATAACTTTTGGGGTCCACTGGAACCACCCCTTACACTTCTTCATGAGGGCTGTCAACATGGCAGCCACTATGCTGAAATTCCGAATAAACCAGCGAAATAAATGAGCAAAGCCCAGAAACCTTTGAGTTGAGCAGAAAGTAATGGGGCTTGGCCACTCCACAATGGGCTTGATCTTAGCTGGGTCTATACTCAATCTTCCTTTTGACACCACAAACCCCATAAAGGTAACCAATTGAGCATGAAAGAGGAATTTACATAAAGGTGGATCTCAAAGACCGCCGTCTTTTTTCTACACACAAAGAAAAACCCAGCCCCAGCTGGTGAGGTGTTAAGGGTTAGTCAGTGTCAATGCATCCCTGATGTACTCCTCCATAGCTGTTCAGAGAGGAGACTTACAGTCATAGAATCTGTGCAGAGGCAAGACTTGGGCTTGGTGTTTACTTCAAAAAGATCATACTAGTCAGTCAGGAGTTGAGATAAGTTGGGGCTGACAGGTGGAGCTACAATGCGTTTAGAATAAGACCCCCGACCTGCCACAGACTGAGTCAGCCAATCCAAGCACAGTGTGTCACTGTAGCCAGGGAAATCCGAAGATCAACTTCACCTCAGGGTCTGGGTGAGCAAGAATCAAATCTGCTCTGTGTGCTGACCCAGACATAAAGTGATAGGCCCGGTCTGCTGACTGACCTGCCCTGACCTGAGAGGGTACCTGTCAATGGCAGAGACAGGCACAGGGACCTCCAGGTTGACAGGTGACAAGGTTAGAGTCTTGGCCAAGGCAGCATTCACAAAGCTCGCAGTAAAGGCATCTCTTGGCAGGAAAGGTGGGTATGTCCCCACTGCATGGGCTGCTCAGCTGGCTCAGGAAGAACAAGGGGTGGTGGGGGACCCATGGTACTTGGGGATGGGACCCAGTACTGGGGGGCACTCCCGTCTCCCGTTCCTAAACTGTACATGTAGCTGGTTATCCAGCTTCAAGGCCTGCTCAATAAGCTCTTAGAGTGAAGAGGAAACATCTTGGGTGTGTCTCAAAACCTAGTGAGCTCTCTACATAGACAGCATTTTACGTCACAATATGCGCGCTCCCGACAAGAAGGCTGTCCCCATTCTTAGATATCTCAAATATGCTGCGTACTAAGGTATCTCATTTTGGCCGAATATCGAGAGAGCATCGGATGTTTCCTCAGCCGCTGAGGCAATCCAGCACGGCGCAACTTTTGTTTGAAGATGGCAGGCAGAAGCGCTTTGCCGAGCAGCGACGTCATCTTCAAATGTAAGTTATTCTGATTTTCTGGGTTGTTTATCTGTTTTCTAGTCATAAAGGTGCACAAATAGCCTATACTTTCCATGTTGGCTAAATGTGATTCTGACGGCTGAGGTAAGTAAACGCTGGTATCGTGCGGTGGGCGGGAACAAGCGGCGACATCACTGCTGTCTAACTAGAGTGTCTCATTTATCTGTCTTATAAGGATAGATGACGGTTGGAATGCTGCCTACTTAGACAGCTGCCTATGTAGACAGCGGCTACTTAGAGAGCTCACTAGGTTTTGAGACACACCCCTTGTGTGGCTAGATTATCTTTCACATTACCACTGAGGCCCTGCTGGAAGGGAGCCACATTCCAACCTCTCTCTGTGGTCAGAATGCAGAACTCAGTGTTTTTTTTTATATGTTCAGGAGATAAAGTAAATGGATCGTATGGAGCAGACACAGCACGGTTTCTCTGACGTGAGTGAGGAGCGAGCAACCTGGAGTGATCACAGAACTCTTTGAGAGAGGAGTGGAAATGTCTGCCACTTGAGTCCACTCACATACTCTGGTTCTCACAGTATATTGTGATAACCGCTGGCCATCATAGTGTATTGTGAATTCGGAAACATGATGGCAAAGCTGAATAATGAAGAATGAGAAAAAATATTGATTTCAATTAATAAATTACATTCATTGGGGTGGGCTAAGTAACTAAGTAAAACTGGCATAGCAATGATATTTTAATTGTTAGCACCTGATTTAAATGTGACACATTTTAAGTAGTGATACATAGGGTGCATTTTCTTTTCACTTATAAAATTGATTAAATGAGGAAATGAAGAAGCTTGTGCAAATATGTTTAGAAAGTCTAAACTTGTCTTTTGTTATTTTCAAATGGGTCCTCTAAGGGTTCATTATTCATTTGTTTCATGAGACTAAAATTAAAAGGCTGCTGAAGAGTGAAGTGTATTTCTATCCACTTTGTTTGCATAAATTACATTATGTGACACAAAATAAAAATGTATGGATTTTCAGTGACACTATTTTGAGTGTGCCTTTTGAATGATGTAAATACTCAACATACTCTCAGTAACATCAACAACATATCAATGATGTAGCAGCAGTGAATACATTCATTAGATTATCACAAGATTTTAATTAACTGTGCAAATAAAATGTGTTTATAATCTGCTATATTCAGTTGTTTCTCACTTTATTTGGTGTCCAAATTCATATTTGTAGATCTTAACCTGAGAGGTCACTGAATATGTAACAGGTGTAATACAGACCACCTCAACATCCTCAACAAGCTGTTATAGACACACTTTTGACATCACTCTGTACCTGGAGTTTAACCGGATTAGGTTTTGGTTAAGATAAGGGTTAGGATTAGGGCCAGGATGAGGGTTAGGTTGGGTTAAGGCTAAGGTTAGGGTAAGGATTAGGGCTAGGGTTATGTTTTAGGTAAGGTTTTAATTAATGAAAGTAACATAAGTCTACTTTGTGTAACATATTAACAGTACATCTACTTAATATAAGTAATGTATTAACAGTACATCTTCACAATATTCATTTCAATGTCTTCAGATGCTTCACTACTACTACTTCCCTGATATGTTTTTGATGTGTTACGAATTTAACAATAATTTACAAAGGACCACTCAAAATAAAGTGATTAAAATGTTCTGCTTTGTTAAATTATTTTAGATGTCAAAATAAATAAACAACATTGAGATGTCACATTGTTAGTGGAGAAGATTAAATGGCAGAAATAAATGACTACTTTTTCCTCAGTACCAAAGAGTTAAAGCTGAAGCAATACTTCAGTGTGTAACATTCACTGCATTATTACCTTAATAATCACAACTTCATTAAGTGATAAGACAGAATCATTTACCTTTTTTATTTTACATAATTTACATTACTGCAGTGATACGCAGGTAGCAACATCATGTTTGAGAGTTTTATCCAAGCTTTCATTTAAAGAATCACAACAATATAAAAAAAGTGACCTAAAGGCCATATTGTTTGAACTGCAAACATAAAAAATAGAAAAAATAACTCCAAAAAAATATCCACAAACATTCATAGAATTCATTCATAAGACACTATACTAATATAAAGGCAACAAACAAAGGTGTTCACTGTTTGGCACAAAAAATTGACTAATGAGAAAAATGGCAGTAAAACTGTCATAATATACACAGTAAAAAAGCAATCTAAAAAAATATCTTCTTATTCCAAATTATTTTCTTTATTCTATTTGATATCTCCTGCAGTTTAAGTCCATATATAATAGGATTCATTATGGGAGGAACAACTAAAATTTCAACTGACATTATCATGGCAAATATATGAGGAACATTTCCTTCTAATCTGCTGTTAATCACTTCAAAACATACCGTAACAGCGACACTGATGAAAATGACAAGGTGTGGGAAGCAGGTCTGTAGAGCTTTTCTTCTGAAATCTTTTGAATTCTTTAAACAGACATCAAGTATTCTAATATATGAGTAGATTATGAAGATCACTGGTGGTAATACAACAATGCTTAGGAGACACAGCCCATATGTATTCATAACAGTTATGTCTCCACAACTTAATTTAGCAATTGCATAATTATTACAGTATATTCTGTTTAATTTAAATTTACACAGCTGTCGATATGTTAATATTATGGATATGCCCATTTCACATGAAGGCACAAACCAACAGAAAAATAAGAGCTTTTTGATGGTGGACATTTTTACAAGTGTTGCATATTGTAATGGTTTACATATGGACACATATCTGTCATAGGCCATAGCTGATAACAGTGTGAACTCTGAAGCTCCATATGTATAAATGCAAAAGGCCTGAAACATACAGGCTTCACGAGAGATAACTGGTGTTTCAGAGAGTAAATCACTCAGTAATTTAGGGTATAAGGCAGCTGTTCCAAAAAGAGCATTGCAAAGTAAAGCAGCAATGAATATGTACATCGGCTCATGGAGACATTTGTTTGTGTAAATGACATAAATGACAACAGCATTACAGCAAATTATCAGAATGTAAACTGTGAAAGTAATTAGAAAGTAAAAATATCTGTATTTCTCCAACTCCACATGCCCTTCCAAAGATAAATATGTATAATTAGTAGAATAATCCATGGATGAAGTGGTCCACAAGTCTCTAAAACAGATTAGTCAGTGTAATCTGGTTGTGCCCAGTGTTTTTATGTATTTCATCAGGCATCATTACCTCCATTCATAAGAGTGAAAATACTAAGTACAGTGAAGGCACTGTATCTGTACAGGCTGTGGTGAGGACAACAGCTTTGTGTGTCAATATTTATATATTCTCTACTGGAAAGATACATATTCCTTAGTGGGCCACTGACTAATTAACACATTGGTCTAGCCTGCTTCTGTTACAGTTGGAGTTGCTGCATGACCGACATGTCTTCAAATAATGACAAACCCCATTTCCAGAGAAATTAGGACATTTGTAAAAAGTAATAAAATAGGCTGTGCTTTGTTAATCTTCTTGAACCTTTATTTAACTGAGAAAAGTACAAAGAAATTACTTTCTTAATGTTTTGGCTGACTAGCTTGATTGTATTTTGTAAATATAAGTAATTTTTGAATTTGATGCCTACAACACACCCTACAAGCATTGGGACAGAGGCAAAGTAGGAGTGAAAAATTAGAATTTTCAAGAATATTCAAGTTACACAATTTTTAAACATACTACAATTACTATGCAAGCAGGTAAATTGGTAACAGGTGAGGGGGTCATGATTTGGTACAAAAGGAACATCCACCAACGAACCAGTTTTGGCAAGCAAAGATAGGTAGTGGTCTGTGGTTGTTTTAGGAATAAATCACATTCTCTATGCCAAAGACAAAAGGGACCATCCAGACTTGTATCAGAAAAAGATGCAAAAGCCAACCTTTTCTCAGGGTACATCAGTGCCCGCGGCTTGGGTGTCTTACATATGTGTGAAGGCACCATTGATGCGTAGGCCTATATTGGGATTTTAGAAAGACATATGTTGCAATCAAGATGACATCTTTTCCCTGGAAGTCCAAAGTTATTTCAGCAAGACAAGGCTAGGCCTCATTCTGCATGTGCTACAACGCTGTGGTTTCACAGATACAGAGTGTGAATTCTTGACTGGCCTGTCTGCAGTCCAAATCTTTGTTCTATTGAAAATGAATATTTTGTAACAGTGCTGGTAACACACCCTACACAGTCACAAACAAAATAGGGAGTTAGTTAGGGTCCACAGCTAGTACATCATATTCCTGTGCAGACGTAACCACTATCAAACAGAGATAGTGTACACAAAGCATGTATTATTGATATGTACAAAAAAAGACACACACAGACACATACCCACACCATAATGAACATAAACACAGTCCCTATATACACATAAAGCACCAATGAACATAGTCTTTAACTCACAAGAGTCCTTGTCTAGGGGAAATTAGATCAGTCTCACCAATTTGTACTTTCATGGGGTTGTTTAGTCCCTGAGATTAAGGCAGATGGTTCCTCTGTGATTCTTGACACAATTACTCAATCATTCCACCAATGCTCAGGGGTACCAGATTGTAAGCGCCAAAGCCGTAAAATAAAAGTCCTTCTGATACACAGATTCACATTCACACTTATTGCCACAGACTTTACATCATTCATCAAGTCAAGACAAGAGGCTTTTATTGTCATTTCATCTATGTACAAGTACACAACGGAGTGAAATTACGTTCCTCCAGGAACAAGGTGCAACATGGAACATACCCCCCAATATATATATATATATATATTCCCCAAACCCACATCTCTAAACATAGATGAGCATGTATTCATGTTTCCATTGGCCTATATTTACATTGAGCGTAAAAACAGATGTTTTTGTTTGTATAAGAAGCCAAGTACATTTATTTGTCTACTTGCTGTTTACACAGTGCGCAGAGATCGCCAACTTTCTGCAGAGTCAGTCGTTAAAGACCTCCAAACTTCATGCGGCTTTCAGATCAGCTCAATAACAGCGTAGAGAGAGCTTTATGAAATGGGTTTCCTTGGCCGAGCAGCTGCATCCAAGCCTTACATCACCAAGCGCAATGCAAAGCGTAAAATGCAGTGGTGTAAAGCGCCGCCACTGGACTCTAGAGCAGTGGAGACATGTTCTCTGGAGTGACAAATTATGCTTCTCCGTCTGGCAATCCGATGGATGAGTCTGGGTTTGGCGTCTTCCGGGAGAACAGTACTTGTCTGACTGCATTGTGCCAAGTGTAAAGTTTGGTGGGGGGAATTATGGTGTGGGGTTGTTTTTCAGGAGGTGGGCTCGGCCCCTTATTTCCAGTGAAAGGAACTCCTAATGCTTCAGTGTAACAAGAGATTTTGGACAATTTCATGCTCCCAATTTTGTGGGAACAGTTTGGGGACGGCCCCTTCCTGTTTCAACATGACTGCGCACCACTGCAAAAAGCAAATTCCATAAAGACATGGATGAGTGGGTTTGGTGTGAAAGAACTTGACTGGCCTGCACAGAGTCCTGACCTCAACCCGACAGAACACCTTTGGGATGAATTAGAGCAGAGACTGCGAGCCAGACCTTCTCGACCAACATCAGTGTCTGACCTCACAAATGCGCTTCTGGAAGAATGGTCAAAAATTCCCATAAACACTCCTAAACCTTGTAGAAAGCCTCCCCAGAGGAGTTGAAGCTGTTATAGCTGCAAAGGGTGGGCCGACATCATATTAAACCCTATGGATTAAGAATGGGATGTCACTCAAGTTCATATGCGTGTGAAGGCAGACGAGCGAATACTTCTGGCAATATAGTGTACATACCCCACCCCTTCAGCAGTAAGAAACCCTGGTCCATAGTATTTCTTTAAGTTAACTATGTTAACAGTATCTCCTGTGTTGGGGGAATCAACATAATGAATCCTATATTTTACCTCACCAAAGCCTTTAACAATTTTTGCTGGGCCTTTACATTTAGACCCCAACTTTGCACTAAAACCTGTTGCAGCCTTGGACGGCAGATGAAATTTGACCCACACCAGTTCACCAACCTGAAACCTTGAGGGTTTTCTTCTGGTGCTATAGCAGTGGGCTTGCTTACATTGGGCACTTTCCACATTACAGTACACCTGCTGAATAAGCTGGTATTGCCTAGCAATGGTCTCATATACATCATTGTGGAGAAGGGGGCGTGGCCGAGCATCGAATGCGGGACAGAGAAGCCGGTCGGGCTGAACCAGCAGGCTAACTAGCTGATTATGTTCACCTGTGCCTTGTTTCTGCCAGCCTACTTATAGGCAATCTCTTCCTTCAGTAGGCGGCAGAGCCGAGAGAGAGAAGGAAACCACTGGAGGCGTGAGAGCTGAGCTAAACCGAACTGAACTGACCTGAACGGATCAGGAAAAAAAGGTGGACAGAAAGGACTAAAAAGTCCCAGCCAACGTCTTGTCTTTGTGGGCTGAAAAGCCGAGTATTTTGTTTTTGCATTGTGAATAAAGAAAAAGCTCTCCGTCTTCACACCTGCCCCCGGCGTCTTTCCTCCCCCCACCATTAATAGTTCCACAGTGGTGCCGAAACCTGGGACGGATTGGACGATACGTTGCCATGGAGTCCTCACCGCTTGGGGAGATAGTTAAAGCCCTCTCCCTCCTGCAGCAGACTCAACACCATGCTCTCCTGGACATCCAGTGTGAAAACCAGGCCCGCTTCAAGGCCCTGGCTCAGGGCCAAGAGGCGGACAGGAAGCTTTTCCGGAGTTTGTTGGCAGCTAGCAGTACTCCAGCGCCAGCAACCATCTCCATCTCGAAGATGACTCCACAAGACGACCCTGAAGCATTTGTGGAGCTCTTCGAGAGAGCGGCGGAAGACTGGGGGTGGCCGTAAAAGGACTGGGCCAGCCGACTGCTGCCCCTGCTCACGGGGGAAGCCCAGCTTGCTGCCCAACAGCTCCCCGCTCAGTCGCAGCTGGAGTACGACAAGCTGAAAAAGGCCGTCCTTCAGAGGGTTGGACGAACTCCGAAGCAACACCATCAGCGGTTCCGCACACTGACACTCCAAGAGTTTGACCGGCCCAATGTGCTGGCACAGCAACTCCGAGATTCCTGCAGGAGGTGGCTCTTGTCAGAAGCCCGCGATTCTGAGGAGGTCCTCGACCTGGTGGTGCTGGAGCAGTTCATCGCCCGCTTACCCGAGGAGACAGCAGCGTGGGTCCAGTGCCACCAACCAGAATCGCTGGATGAGGCCACCAAGCTGGCAGAGGCACACCTGGCGGCATATTCGGGGGCAGGAAGCCCCACCCAGCCGATATCTCTCTCTCCTTCTCTCTCTCCCCCTACTCCCGCTCCCAAAAAGAGGGGGGCTGTAGCCCCCAAGCCCTTTCCCCGCTCTCACTCTCCCCGCACCCCCTTTCCTATTTCCCGCAACCCCCCTGCAGCTACTCACGGTCTGCCTTCTCTCTCTGCACAGGGGGCAGCAGCTGAGCCCACAAGAGCTGGGGTGAAGCCTGGGCAGGTGTGTTGGCGATGTGGGGAGCCCGGGCACTTCCAGGACCAGTGCCACCACATGGAGGTCGGAACACTGGTTCGGGTCCCCACGTCGCCATCCACCTCCCCTGATCGAGCTGGAGTGTACCGCATACCAGTGAGTATTCAAGGGGGTACATATCAAGCCTTGGTGGATTCTGGATGTAATCAAACCACGATTCACCAATGCTTGATTCAAGACGTGGCATTGGAGAGGGCCTATCGGGTAAAGGTGCCGCGCTCGAGGCAGGCAGGCTTCCGCGCCCGTCAGTGACGGCTCCTGAGCGAGGGGGGCAGGCGATAGTTCCTCTGGGGGTGGGGCCGAACCTGACAGCATGGCCACGCCTCCGGGGGTTACCCTCCTGTCTTCCCTCGAGGATTTCCCTCTGGAGCAGTCACGTGACGATGCGCTGAGGCGCACCTTTGACCAAGTGAAAGTTATTGATGGTCAGTTGCTCGAGCCAGGATGGCCCCTTTCCTATCCACATTTTGCACTTATTAAAGATAGACTATATCAAGTGACGCGGGACACTCAAACCTCGAAGGTTTCAGCCCAGCTGTTAGTACCGAAAAGCCGTAGGAAAATGTTATTCCATATTCATTACAGTCCCATGGCA